TATGTGCTAGCACTCCAGAGCCAGGCCGTGTAGCTCAGTGGGAATGCTCCCACATTTTATCCTGTTGGAAGTGTGATACAGCAATAAGCCAATTTACTCTTTTTCTTGGGACATTTTCTCTGAATGAATTGTCCTTTTTCTTCAGATGTCTCATTTGTCCAGTGCGCTTCAGATTCCTTAGGTGAATGCCTTCATTCTCCTGGAAAGACAAAAACAAAGCCCTGTCCCAACCCTAACTTTGGGAAGTTTCCATTTTTGTCAAGTTATATCTGATCAAATAAAAGACATTTGCTAGTTTTTTTTTTTTTCCAGAGACAGGCTTTTGCTGTAGTTTTAGAGCCTGGCCTGGAACTAGCTCTTGTAGACCAGGCTGGCCTTGAACTCACAGAGGTCCACCTGCCTTTGCACCCCCACCCCCATGCTGGGATTAAAGGCGTGTGCCACCACCACCAGGCTCATTTGCTAGTCTTATAAATTATTTTAGATTGAATGGTCATGCTGTTGGATGAACTATAATCTCTTCTAATAAAGAGGTCTTTCCTGTTTATACCTAATCTTTATCAATTTTAATGGTATCCATAGATTTTTTTTTCTCCTGTGGAAACAAAAGCAAAACCTCTTCCCCAAGGTAACACATATCCTGGTTTTCATTCTGAGGTCAACATATCTTTAAAGTATGCATGCATATTTAATTCAGCAGATTTTTTTCCCATTCAATGTCTCTCCACAGCTGTCGTTCCTTTCTCATTAGCATTTAAAAAAATTAAAGTTAATAAAGCTTTGTGTAATCTATCAGGAGGGTCTTTATTACCCCTTTTGTTTATTAAACATATCTTTTAAAATGCAGTTAAATCTTTCTATAACTTGTCCTGTAGAATTGTATGGTATACCTGTAATATGCTTTATGTTATAATATGCAAAATACTGTTTCGTTACTAGAGATATATATTGGAAAATTGATATGGGTATTGCCATAATGGCCATAACTGGTGGTAGTTCTTGTATGGTAACTGATAAACTAAAGTTGCTTTTCTAATTACCTTGGGCCACTCCTCTGTAGTTTCAACATGATGTGCTGCGGTAGGTTCTGATCTAAATTGCTCTATCTGTGTGTAAATTTTTTTTTCAAGACATGGTTTCTCTGTGTAACAGCCCTAGCTGTCCTGGAGTTTGCTTTGTAGACCAGGCTGGCCTCGAACTCACAAAGATTTGCCTGCCTCTGCCTCCCGAGTGCTGGGATTAAAGGCATATGCCACCACACCTGGCAAATTTTTTGTTTGTTTCATTGGTATGTTTTTTCTAAGGCTTGTATCTTATTAGTCAATTTTTTATATTTTCCATGGATATCAGACCACTTTTTAAATGATAAAACATGAATTACTAAACTGGTAATAATTATAATCGACATTATGTCAATTCTAGATATGTCGGAATTCATTTAATTTATTTTCAATTTTAAAGCATTTATTGTGGAACCATACAGAGTCCTAACTCCATACATTGTAATATTTCCATTCTCTCTGTTTTTTTTTTTTCCGAGATAGTATTTCTCTGTCCTAGAACTAGCTCTTGTAGACCAGGCTGGCCTCAAACTCACAGAGATTCGCCTGCCTCTGCTTCCAGAGTGCTATTTTCCTTTCTTAATGTGGGAAAGTTTTTGTTTTGGCTTTTGTTTTAAATTAAAACCTAATTCTTTCCTTAGGAATTCCCAGGTGCCTCACCAGAGCTGATGACTTTTTAGTCTGTCCACAGCAGTGACTCTATCAATGGCAGAGCTGTGCAGGGGGGCAGGGGTGGAGGTGACCAGTCAGCCCGGCTAGTTTGGGTGCGTGGGTCGCAATGGGCTGCTTCTGTGCAGACTGAGGGCACCTGCAGCTGCTAGCTGTAGCTGTTGGCGGAAGGAGTGCAGTGGTGGCAGCAATAGGAGCCCGAGTCGTGTGAACAGGTGTGGCTGGCAGCAGGTGGCTGTGGCAGCCCGAGACTGCTGCAGAAAGCCTGCAGTGGGAGAAACTCGCTACTCCCTCACTTCGAGGAAGGGTGGGAAAAGCCACCCAAGCAGTGTCTGTGGTGGAGGTGGGGGTGCCATGTGATCTAATGCCAGGTGAACCATTTATCTAATTATTATTTTTATCAGTAAAAACTCGGGAGTCTATCAGGGAAAAAAAAAACCTGTTTTATCAGATAATCTGGGAAGACACCATTGTTGGGGATTATTACTTTCAGGTGTGTGACTTTTGTTTACGCTGCATTTGTTTAACTCTGTGAAGCCGTGTTACTGTGCCTGCCTAAAACACCTGATGGTCCCAATAAAGAGATGAACGACCAAGAGTTAGGCAGGAGCAAGGATAGGTGAGGCTGGCAGGCAGAGAGAATAAATGAGAGTAGACTGTACACAGAAGGAGAAATCTGAGAGGAAGGAGAACGAGGAGCAAGAGAACAAAGAGAGGAGGACATCGGGGGCCAGCTACCCAGCTATATAGCAAGCCACGGAAAAAGAAGTAAAGAAAGGTATACAAACATAGAGAAAGATAAAAACCCAGAAGCAAAAGGTAGTCAGAATAATTTCAGTTAAGAAAAGCTGACAAGAAACAAGCCAACCTAAGGCCAGGCATTCATAACTAAGAATAAGCCTCCGTGTGTGATTTATTTGGGAGTTGGGTGGTGGGCCCCTCAAAAAGGCAAAAGAGTGAAATATCACACAACACACCATGGTAAGATGGCACCCTGTAGAGAAATGCACCCATTTCCCTCCATAGTAGGAACATCGATAAGCACAGCATTCTAGGAAACACGCAACAAACAACAATACATTCCTATTTGTTGATTCAACTAAGTTGAATTCATGGTATTTCCCAATACACAGGCTATGGTGTTTCTGTTGCCCTTGTTTAATAAGAACAGATCAAAATCCATGAGCTCCACAAAATATTTGGCATTTAAAGGCACCTTAACGTGGTGCTTAAGAAATGCACTGAAGAGTGCCTGGGTGTGAACCTTGGCTCTACTTTGGACAAATAAGAACCTTCTAGTGTGTGAGGAACTGTAGAGCTGAAATGGAGATTCTGTGTCAGTATCTGATGCAGGACAGCTCTCAGCAGAAGGTATAATCATTGCAGAACTATCTAGACTTCCCTTCTGCAGCTGTTTCCTAGGTCTCCTCCTAGCCACCCCTCTGTCAACTGCTAGGATTCTCAAGTTTAAACAGTTCTTCCTGTGTCCTACACATACTTATATCAGATTTATCATAACTATATGCACCACATTTTGTTTTGTATTTTGAGAGTCTCTCGTAGCCCAGGCTGGTTTTGAACTTGCTATGTAGCAAAGAATGACTGTGGATTCCTGATTTTCCTGCCTTTGCCTCTAGTTCTGGGATTAGAAGCATTATGCCACCAAGCCTAGTTTCGCTGGTGCCGAGTGACAAGGCCAGTGCTCTGGTAATGGCAGGCAGGCACACCAGCCTGGGACATCTCCAACCCTCCATGCATACTTGCTCGACTCCCTTTGCCATGCTTTTCAAAGTCTTGGTCTGTTTCCCCCAACTCGTGTGACTCCCAGTGAAGTCGAGGCCTTGACCAGGAACTTAATTTGTTTGTTGCTCGTGGGGGAGGTCAGAGGATAACTTGCAGGCGTGTTTTCCCCTCCACCACGGGTTCTGGGGACTGAACTCAGGCCATCAGGCCTCGTGGCCAGCACCGGTACCTGCCGAGTCATCTCACTGGCTCTAACAGACATATTCTTCAACTAGTATTGTCACCTTCTGGGATGATTATTAAATTCCATTCTGTTTCAGTGGGTGAGTGAACAACATGGAACTAGATTTCAGTGATAAATTATGCATATGGTACTTCTGCAATGAATACCTTACTAATATGTTATTTGCTGGGTTATACTGAGAATATATTGTGCTAACTGCAAACTGCTTATGAAATCTATGACAAGGTTGTTATATATGTGAAAAAGACCCCTCTACACTCCTTTTGTAGCCCAGACAGGCCTTGAACTCAGAGATCCTCCTGCTTGCCTCCTGAGTGCTGGGATTAAAGATGTGGTACAACTGCCTGGTCCCTCTACTTCTTTTTTGTTTGTTTTATCTTTTCTTTTCTTTTCTTTTTTCTTTTTCTTTTTTTTTTTTTTGAGATAGGGTTTCTCTGTGTAACAGCTCTGGCTGTCTTGGAACTAATTCTTGTAGACCAGGCTGGCCTCAAACTCACAGAGATCCGCCTGCCTCCCGAGTGCTGAGATTTTGTTTTGGTTTTTCAAGATACGGTTTCTCTGTGACTTTGGAGCCTGGACCTTGTAGACCAGGAGGCCTTGAACTCACAGAAATCCACCTGCCTCTGCTTCCCAAGTGCTGGGATTAAAGGCGTGCGCCACCACTGCCCTCGCCCTCTACACTTCTCAGTTAGACTCATTACTCAGTAAAATTAGCAAATCTTCCCCCAAAGAGTTGTTTATTAGCAAAGATAATTTCACACACTAAATTCTTCCATCCACTGCAAGGGACATTAACATCTTCACACACAGTGAAGAGCATTCCTTCTCCATTCAATATACTAGCTCAATATTACCTTCACAGCATTAACACCAGGCAGGATTTGTATGACGCAGGGCACTGAAAGCTCAGTACATTCCCAGGACTAAAAGGAAGGGATTCTTCTGGTGGCTAAGATGTACAGAGGAAACATAAGGCAGATACACTGCTGAAACAGACTCTGCCTAACACTACCCTTTTCCATGGAACCTGATTGACAGCTGTCCCGCGTAGAGGACACCTGCTTCTGATGGGCTGTGGAGTACACTTCGGGCACTTAGGGGTACAGAAAGGCCAACAGCTGGAGCTGTCCACAGCTCTAAGTCCTCAGATGGACTCAAAACATTCTGGATACAAAAGAAGCTTTATGACATAGAAAACACTAGATCTTTTTTAATACCACCTTTCTCATGTGGTATGGGGCTGAGTTGTGGCAAATATTGACAGGGTTAAGATTTTTTTCAGCCACTTTGGGCAAATAATTAGCGTAAAAGAAATTATGTATAAATTTGAGCAAACCAGGACAGGAGAAGGCCGACAAGGGAGCTAGCAGAGCCTCCATGCAGCCGGATTTCAGTGCTGTTCTCAACTGCCTGCGTGGCACCAGGAATGTAGTAACTTTCTTTCGGTGATAAAAGTGCTTCCATGTAAAAACCAAACACATCTAAGACAGCAGACCACTCCCGCCAGCGTGAGCCAGCCAAATAGAGCTGTTCTTCACCGCCACAGCCATATCAATTCAACAGTGGGCACAGTGCCTGTAAACTATGATATGTTCTTCATAGTCGGCAAACTACCTAAGCTGAAGATTCCTTAGTCAAACAAAATAGGAAACTGACTACTTGATCAAATAAATAAAAGCTACTTTTGGCATTTAAATCAAGTGCTCATGTGGGACCGCACTTGACGGGGCAGGTCCAGGTTCCTCAGCACTCTCTGAAGGACTGTGTGATCCTGGGGAGGAGAAACAACCCAAACCCAGACGACTTGATTTCAAGTATATTTCCCAGGGATTAGGAATAGATTCTCTCAAATTAAGAGTAAAGACACCCGACCACGAGGTGCCAACTCCTAGCACCCGACCACGAGGTGCCAACTCCTAGCACCGGAGAGAATCCAAGCTCCACAGATGAGTGGTTTAACTCAGAGGGCCGCCGGTCCGCTTCTGTGGGTCATGTCACTTTTGCAAGTGGAAAAAGAAAATAAAATCAGGTTTATGCCAAACATGTACTTTTAAAAAGTTCGATCTCTTAAAAATTCTTAGAAGTCAATTGTATAATCCTACATAAAAATAAAATCACTGGCTTATAATAAAATGTTCAGATTTCAGAGATGTGAAAACAAACATGAACTGAAAACAACAGTTTATATAAATTCAGGTCCCAGAGTCAAAACTAAATGTAGTCTCTGACAAAGGAAGGGCGAGACGCCTCTGTGTTCACTAACACACCCCAAACTGTTCTGTGGACAATGACTAGCAAGTGGCAATTTTGGACTTCCATCTCAAACCTCTAATCAACACTATGTCAAGTCTCTGGCAGGACTCCTGAAGGGACACGTCCTGTGGAGAGGCCGTCACGTCTCTCCTGGACGGACATCGGCAGCCTGCGTTCAGAAGTTCCGTTATTTGACGGGCTGAGAAGCAGGATCCACAAAACTTTCCTTTCCGACCTGAAGAGGCTCACTGCTGATGGACAATAATTCTCGAAGTTCCTTATTTTCAAGCTGGGGAAAAAAGATAGTTTCTGTATTTTAAAAGCTAAACTGTATCAGAACATATTATTTAGGGCCAGAAAGAAGAAAAATATTTTTAAAGTTTTAAATGATCAAAAAATATTTTTGAGACAGAGTCTCACTAAACGGACTTTGCTGGCCTAGAATTTGATATGTAGATCGGGCTGGCCTTAAACTCACAGATATCTGCTTGTCTCTGCCTCCTGAGTACTGAGATTAGAGGCATGCACCACCACACCTAGATCTTAAACAATTACAACTTTTTTTTTTCTGGGTACTGGCGGTGCATGCCTTTAATCCCAGTACTTGGGAGGTAGACCTCTGGGATTTTGAGGCCAGTCTGGTCTACAGAGTGAGTTTCAGGACAGCCAAGGCTATACTGAGAAACCCTGTCTTGAAAGACCAAAAACATTTTTTTTCTTTTTAAATTTATATGTGTGTGTGTGTGTGTGTGTGTGTGTGTGTGTTTGCCTGCATGTATGTCTGTGTACCATGTGAATATCCTAGAAAGTCAGAAGAGGACACTGGATACCCTGGGTCTAGGGTTACATAAATTGTGAGTCACCACGTGGGTGCTTGGAATTGAACCCAGGGCCTCTGTAAGAGCAACAAGTGCTCCTAACTTCATAATTCAGCTAGTACTTTTGGTATTTGACACCTATCACTTCCTTTAATTTCTATCTAGATAGGCCACCTTACACTCCATCTTTACCATCTCTGTAGAAAATTCTCTTCTATTTTGAGATAGGGTCTGATGTCATGGAGGCTGACTTGGAACTCCTAATCCTTCTGTTTCTGTCTCCTAAGTGCTAGAATTACAGGTGTGTGCCATCATGACCAGCTCTTTGCAGGACAAACTGACAAACTACAACGTTTCTAGTTTCACCAAAGGGTTGAAGAGCATAATCAACAAACCCTCCATCATATAAACTGCTTCTCTCAGGACTCTGGAGTCAGGTTTACTTACGTGTATGTGTGTTTTGCTCGCACCTATGTATGTGCACCAACTGAGTGTTAGAAGAGGGCATCAGATCCCTGGAACTGGCGTTTCGGATGGTTGCGAACCACCACGTGACTGCTGGGAACTGGGTCCTCAGCAAGAGCAGTAAGTGCTCTTGACTGCTGAGCTATCTCTTCAGCCTCAGTCTTCCGAATCTTTCCTGTAACATTTACATACCATTCCTACTATGTTCTTCCTTCACTAGGTTTGGACAGGGACCTTCTCTTTTTCTATTTGGAATTTCTTAAAGGTCCCACAACAGCACTTGAAATAAGCAGTCAAACCTGAAGGTTTTACCGACTGAGCTCTGTCCCAAATCCCACAACTGACACTTTCACTGATTGTTAACTCCACTTTTTCATTTTCCAGGAAGGGGTATAAAGGAGAAATTACAATTTTAAATCATCAGGACACAAAGAACAACAACACTGTTAGTATTATTGCTAGTATAATACTACTGAGGCAATACAGGAGATTGATGCAGGAAAATTTTGCATTTTAGGCCAGTCCAGGCCACATTCTGAGAGTTCCCTTCCTCTTTTTTGAGACATTCTTTTTGTTTTGTTTTTTTTTTTTTTTCAAGACAGGGTTTTCTCTGTGTAGCTTTGGATCCTGTCCTGGAACTAGCCCTTGTAGACCAGGCTGGCCTCGAACTCACAAAGCTCTGCCTGCCTCTGCATCCTGAGTGCTGGGATTAAAGGCGTGCGCCACAACTGCCTGACTTGAGACATTTCTTGTAAAAAGGAAAATATTAATACACTGTAGTGATAGTATAGCGATGACATATTGTGAGATCTATAAGAACTGTGTAAAAAATGGTGAATTAACAAAATAAGTAAAAGAGGAAAAGGGTGAACTTAAAGCAGCAGCCATCTTACCTCTAGTTGCGCTAGTTTCTCCTGAACCTTACAAAACTGGTCATCATCCACCTGGACTGCTTTCCTCATCACCTCCCCCATTTCACAGATCCGATCAATCTGACTTTCAATTTCCTGTGGAAACAAGATGAGAAGAAAAATAGGTTTTAGTTATGAAGATCACAAAAAGCATGTGCATTATGAATTTTAAGTCTATTAAAAACCTTGCAGAAATAAACTGGGAGGAGTTCGTTTAGTAGCTGTTGTAGAAGTTACACTTCAATTACGCTATACTTTGAGTCATAATATTAATCCGTGGTATGTCAAATAATTTCCATTTTTCAAAAGAGCAGTTGATATCCATGTGCCAGGAGTCGTGGCACGCATCTGTCATCCTAGACCTTGGGAGGCTGAGGAGGGAGCATTAGGAGTTAAAATGCCAGCCTGTAGTAAATGGGGCCTAGCCACAAGAAAAACAAAAACAAAACAACAGACAATAACGCAAATATTTAGAGATTAAAAACATTCAACTATTTAAAACATCCCAGTTTCCTAAAACTTGTAAGTCAGTAAAATGCATCCCATGGAATGGAAGGTGAGACACACGGCCTCTTCCACTATAGTAAATAGCAGCTTCCGATGTCAGAACTGTAGATTAGGATGCATAACACATGCAAATACGTAACAAGGAAGCACCCTACAAACTGAAAAATAGCTACCGGGTTTCCAAATTAAATAGTAAGTGATTAAAATATAGGAACGGTCATAAAACAAACAAGATCCTCCACGCCCCTAGTAACGTATTGTGAGTAATTTAATGAAGTTAGTGAGCACTGGCTATGTGGAAGATATGGATGAAACTGAACTCGTGCCCCCATAACTACAAAACTTAGGGCTTAGTAGGATATACAGGTAACAACCAGCCAACTATTCACTGAATGCCTTCAACGCTAGCTGTCATCATGCTTGCTCTCTAGCCTGCTATGTAGCCCAGGTTGGCCTAGAACTCTAACTTGTCCTGTCTCAGGCTGAAAAAGATCGCGGTGGGGAGGTGATGCCGCTCAGATGGATGTGAAGCCCCGATCCCCTTTCATTCCTATCTTCACAAAGCCTCTGGCAGACAGAGTGACTATGAAACCCACGAAAGAGGAACATGCTTTTCTGCAAACAAAACAACCACCTCAAGGTTTCAGTTTGTTTTATTCGGAATTCATTTATCAGCGTTTTCTTACTGCAGAGTGAGACTGGTGAGCTCTCAGAACTGGTTCGGTATCCACTGCTTTTTTAGCCACCATTAACTGCAACATCTGTTTCCGGTACTTGCTCATGATGAGTTCCAAAGCGTCCTGGTGTTCCTCCAAGGAAACCCACAGCTCTAACAAAAAAAGCAAACATCTGGGCAATGACATCTATAGCAGGTCTCAAGGCAAACCTCCTAATAGCTGGGGCTTTCTGAGACTCCACAGGATCCTGTGACTCCAAAGTTGGGGATCGATATGCAAACCCACCGAAGCGAGTGACGTCATCTGAAAAACGCTCTAGGCGGTAGAGTTTTGTAGCAGTAACATGGGATACGTAATCACAAAACACGGATTTGAATTCAGGTTTTTAATTTACTTGCTTAAGATTCAGAAGCAAAATAAGCCCATTATAAAAATGATCCCATTTTGTTGATTTGAGTGCGAACACCAACCACAGTGTAGATGTGAAGTCAGAGAACAACCTCCAGGAGCCAGTTCTCTCCTGACACCACATGGGCCTCAGGCCTGGCTCTTCAGGCCTCCTGGCTGGGGCCATGACCTGCTGGGCCATCTTGCTGGCACCTGTGAAGCTGTTTCTTAATTGCGTTGTGTAAATACTTGGATTGTCGACTTCAAAATGATGACAGGGGAATATAGTGGGGTGGGAGATGTAAAAAGGTCTCCGTAAGACAACTGCCATACTGTTGTCATTACCAGCCCTAAGAACGTATATTTTGGAGACAAAGTTCTAGTTTTCTGTCTTGCACAGGAACATAAAACAAAACAAAACACCAACCCCCCCAAAACCCCAATCTTAACTTTAGTGTTCACTCTAATTAATATTGAAATATTACATTTTAAGACTCTGAACTTTAGTTATATGAGCCTTCATCTGGTACTTACTCCGCCCCCAGACATCTAACAACTCAACTCTACTAAATAACTCTTGCAAAGTCATCAGAAGACTTAAAGAAGAACAGATTTTACTGTTATCAGATGACCCTCTTAAGCGCTGACCCTAGATATAGATATGAGATATGCACGCTTGTGAACTGTTCTGGCCCTTGTGTAAGAACGTCCAAAGTATTAATAGACACGAAAAAAAATCCTACACAAACGCACACACAGAGGCCCGACTAACCTCTGTTTTCCTGTTGTAAGTCTCTAATCTGGGTATTCTCTTGAGACAGCAGAATGTGAGGTTTATATTTAGACATGTCCTTCACGTCGGGTGCATCCTCTTGATACTGGACAGACAGACAGATTAAGCCTTTGCAAACACAGGCAGGTGCTGCTGAGGCGGCAGCAGTCCCACCCATCACACAGGAAGCTCTCACGCCCGCCCTGCCCTCGGGACCAGGATAAATCAGACGGCGACCCCACCCTCCCGCTCCCCGACGCGCCC